GCCCAGGCGGGTCTCGAACCCACAGGCTCAGGCAATCCACTCACCTCAGCCTCCCAAGACACAGGATTACAGGCTGAGCCACCGAGCCCGGCTAGCACCCCTGCTTTCAGTTTAGGGATGCCCCAAAGATATTTCCGCTTTGTGTGGGGGCCCACTTCCATGGCTGGGGCAGTTGCATTATCCTAGGTTCAGGACAGATTAAGGCCTCACCATAGGAGGGTCCCAGGTTCCATGATGACTCAGCAGGGGCTTCAGTTCTCATGTTTGGCTCCTGAGGATTGGAGGTCCAGAGATGGAGGCTGGAGGCTTTGGAAGTCAAGAGTGGAGGCTCTTTGGCAGGCTCCATATCATCTGGGAGGATTTCCCTGGAGGCTCAGGAATGGGAATGTGGTTCAAATGGTGCAACCTTCATTCTGTTCCAAAAATAAAATCAAGGACCCAGCATCTGGGTCTGGGGAGGCCACTGCATGTGAACTGTTTAATCATCAGGGATTTCAGTAGGTCAGGCAGGTACTTCCAATGATGTATCAAGCCTCCTTTCTTTCATTCATTTCACTTCTTTTTTTTTAAGAGACAGGGTCTCTCTATGTTGTCCAGGCTGGTCTTGAAGCCCTGAACTCAAGTAGTCCTCCCCCTTAGCCTCCCAAGTACCTGGGACTACAGGAATTCACCATTGTGTCCAGCTTCATTTAACATATTTATTGAGCACCTCGTATGGGCTAGGTATTGTTCTAGCTACTGGAGATCTAGCATTGAATAAACAAAGACATTTGTTCTAGTGGAGCTTAAATTCTACCAGGGAGACAGTAAACACAGACACACACAAGTATAAAAAATATGCTGACTATATAGTAAGTTAGAAAGTGATTAGTATCAAGGAAAAAAGATGCGCCAAGGCAAACTCAAGGGCCTCCCAGATAACTGTCTTGGCTGCTCCTGTCCTCAAGGTGCTTCCAATCGCAGCTAGGAGGGCAAAGGCAGGGCAGTGTGTGGGAATCAAGTCCTGGCCTGCATAGAAGCTCCTTGGTTTCTGGAAGACCCCAAGTGTGCCTCTCCCAGGGCAAGGAGATACTTGGATAGACAAAATGGTGAGATTTAACCGTGGGGTAAGCTGTTGGATCTCAGCAGTGTTGGGGGGGGGTGGGCTCTGGGTCAGAGCCAGACTTGTGGTCCTAGGTCAGAGGAGCAGCGTGATGAAAAGACCTGCCATTAAGAGCTTGAGAGAGAGAGAGAGAAACTGAGAGTGGTCAGAGAGGCAAGAGAACAACAGAGGGTGGGTGTTTCAGGGCCTAAAGCAAAAGGGTGTGGGGTAGAGGAAGTGGCTAGCCAAGTCCAGCACAGCTGAGTGGTCAAGCAAGAAAACGTCCCAGAGCGTTGATTTGATTAGCAGTGTGGAGGGCACTGATGCCTTGGGAGAGAGTGGCATCAGGGGAGGGGAAAAGGCAGCAGCCTGACTGTCCTGGACTAAAGAATGGGAAGAGAGGAGCACCCTGTTTCCAGAATGACTTTTCTCAGGAGAGGGTTAGAAAGAGCCCATGAACTCTGTGGTCACCAAGACAGAGATGATGAGGCTATAGAGTATCCAGGCTGACCTGGCTCTTGGGGGCCATCTGGACTAGTATCCGTGTTTCCAGATGGGGAGGCTGAGGTCCAGAGAGGCAAAGCACCTTTTGAGGGTTGCACATCCCATAGTGACCGGCAGGGCAGGACCAGGCCTCCTGCCTCCCAGGAAAGCACGGTCCCTGAGGCACTGGGAGTCCTCCGCCCTCCACGGGGGAAGGGCTCTGCTGGTTGTGCAGCCTTGTTCCTCACTATTACTTCGTTTTCCTTTCTGCTGGTATACTATCCTTTCTGTTCCAGATTGCATCCCTTTTTTTGGATGACCTTCCGGTTTTTACATCTTTTGTTTCTTTTTCCCAGGACAGTCTACCCATCCTCTGACCTCAACTCCTTTCATTTGGTTAACTCGTCTGCAACATGCAGGTAACTGTCCTGACCCTCTCGGGTCAGCTGCCTTCTTGGTGCCATCACACGTCTTCCTTCTCTGTGGCCCTTTTTACTGTGCTGTGTGATTCTTGTCCACTTGTCTGCTTCCCCATTAAAACACCAGTCCTTGAGGTGAGACCACATGTGATCTATCTCTTTGCCTCCAGCCCCTTACAACAGACCTGGCACAGGTCCCTTTCAATATCTGCTGATTGAAGAGGTTTCCCTGTATGGAAACTCCTAGCTCAGTTTTGAGGCCAGCATGGAAGGGAAGAGCAGAGACGGGTGGGAGGCAAGACCATTCCCCCACAAAGGTGCTAGCTCCAAAGCCCCTTGCCTGAAACCATGATCCTGGGCTGTCAGGGGCAGATGGGCCGCTGTGGACCTTGCATTGTTTCTGTTGGTGTGGGGGGAGGAGAGAGGGGGTGTGTGTGTTTGGGCTGGGCTGCAGCTGCCTGGTTATCATACTGGACCTGGGTGTGGTGAGGTGGGGTGTGATGAAGATCAGGTGGCTGTTTATCTGGTCCACTCACAGCAGCCCACCCTCCCATGC